TTCTGAGGGCAGAATTTCTGTCTCCAGCACTCAACACGTCCCTGGGCAACATCAAACCAGGAGGGCTCTTTAACAGTGTTTCTGTGCTTCTAATTGAGCAATACTCAGTAAATAGCCCCATATCTGTCCAATAGTGATTTACATTCCAATCCATCTTCGTGCTACAAAAACCACAGCAGCTCTGTGGTTTTTTAGTACCATACTGAAAGAAGAGATCACAAATGTCTATCTGCATCATTTCAGTCACTCAAAAGTAGCTATTAATGTCCATCACATAAATAATATGCTTAACCAAAGTAAACACACAAATAAAGTTATTTGGAAGGGCCGTGACAATATTGTAAGTACATCTGTATGATTTGAAGTAATTCACATTTTAATCTTCTTTTTCCCTTCAAAGGCTTCTTTGCTCAGTACATTTTAACACTGTTTTTTGTAGAGGTCTTAACTAGTCCTGTGTGATACAGGACTAGAGGAAATACACAGATAAAGCTAAACATTTAGTGAAGGCAAAGGAACTTCAAAGGACCTTCTAAGTGCCACCTCAGCACAGCTGTGCTGCCATTGGCATAGCCCTGGAAGACACTGTGATTTAAAGTCAAGTATGTGATAGGTTTCTCTGTACTCTTCGCAGAGTGGTAGGAAAAGGGGGACTACAGAAATGTGAGTGCACAGGTTTAATATCATCACTAGCCAATTACTGTATTGGTATGTTGCTTCCAGCTGCTGGCTGGGACACAGAAAAACAGCATTTTTTTCCTGCTTTAAATTCCATATTGAGGGTGAAAAAACAAGTTACTTTAACCTGCTGGTTCCACTGCAAGTTCACTCACTAACACGCAGAGCACGCAGAACTGTAGAAGAATTAGAAATGGTAAACAACTATTTAAGCGGCAATACTGTGCTTCGTTTTTTATTCATTAAAGTTTTTGATGTTTGCGTCAGACTTTTGACTTCCCAAAGCTACTCTACATCAAAAATGATTACTAAGACCTCTAAAAGTATATCACAAGTCAGTTTACAGATGACATTGATGTCTTATTGCTATCCATTCCTCCTGGACCATTTATAACATTTAATTTTTTATACTCCTGCAGTGCTGAAATATGGTTCATACCAGTATCTGTCCTTTTAGTAATCACCAAAGCAAACCTTGGCAGTTGTCATATATTGCACTCTTGAGAAAAATGCTAGTAATACTCTGAATTGATTGAACAGCATGGAATCAGAACTAACTGGCAGAGAAACCATTTAACTGATTTCAATCCATAAATCTCTTTTCTCCTACCCTGTTTTAGTTTAGAAGCTGCTGAATGTAGCCATTATCTTGTAATGTATAGAATGAACCAATTATTTATATGGATATTAATTTAAATACATGATTATATTCATTAATGCCCCATATGAGCAGGCAGATGTGTGGATCTTGCTGATTAACTTTCATTTATGCACACTGAGCTACAGAATAACAGTCCTTGGCCAGCAGACATCAATTCCTTTTATTTCCCCAGGGATCAACATCAGGTATAATGTCCTGGCTTGCCTTAAAAATAAAGTGCTTTTAAACAGAACTTTACCTGCTTTAGGCAACAATTTCAGTCCTTGAGTGTGACCTAAAATGACTCATAAGACATAAGGGCACTGATGTGGCAAGGTTTAATTACTTGGCAGGGATGCACTTGCTGTCTAAAGCAAATGCTGCTGCTCAACATGTTTTTACGAGAAAAAAGAAAAAAAAATGTATGGCCAAGAACTGTACTGAGTCTTAAAGAATTCTAGAAATGGGGCTTTTGAAATTAGGTCCACAGAGAACCAGGAGACCAAAGTCAGATGGGCTACAGAAAGGCAAGGGACAGAAATTAAGGGACCAAAGGCAGAACTCTTGCAGAGGTGAACTGAGGAAGGAGTCCCAGCAAAGGACCAGGTCAGTGGGAAGTGGAGTGGTTTTTTCATCCACCACAATCACCCATGACAGGCTGGAAATCCCTGCTTTGGAGATTGAAACCCAAGGTGCTTCCTGCCTGAATATAAGATATTCCACTGTGCTGATTGCTTTGGTGCTCAAGTGAATACAAGGCAAAAAGAGCAGAGAAAGTAAAAGGATGCCATTCTTTGTAACATGGAGGAGTGTGATTTGCAAATGAATAAGGATTGGCATTGTTTATCAGAAAGGGCTGTTTATCTGAAATGGACTGCTTGGTAAATTCATTAAAACGGATAACTAAGAGACAAAGCTGGGCCTGAGAGAGAACTGGAACCTGGGGAGTTTCCTCAAGAGCAGCATTTCTTCTTCTGCATGTAAACTCACTAAATATCTTGTGCTGAGGTTCTGGATCTTGAAATCCAATTATCTGTGTCAATGACACTCAAGGCTTCAGGACCTGCTAAGCCACTTTCTCAGGAAATGGAGAATCACACATACAGAATAAGAGCACAACTCAGAATAACATCTGATGGTGCTTGAATTGTAAATGTGTGACCTGATACTGCCCTAAAATCGTTGGACAGCAAAAAAAGTAATACATCACGGGTCACTGTAACCTTATTGCAAAAAAGTGGATCAAAGAGGTATAAATATTTGGCAAATAGCCCTGCAACCCCTTTTACTCCTGCAATATGTGTTAGAAATAATTCATGCTATAAAAGAATGTATTTTATAAAGATTGTGAAATCCAAACAAGTCTCTGACCACAAGCAGTCCAGGGACAGATGTCTACTTTGGAATGCTGAAATTCCTGAAGGCAGCAAGAGAACAATACCCCGTTTGCCTATGAATAGACGTGGCCAGGGTGATGATCGTTTTCCTCCGGGGTAATCAGGAGTAATCATCACCCCTCGACTGATACCACTGTGTTACTGGGCTTGCAAGGGTTTTTCGGCGGTGAAAAGAGAGACGAGAATCTTGATTCTATAATCAGAAGGCTGGATTTATTATTTTATGATATATATTACATTATGACTATACTAAAAGGAATAGAGAGAGAGATTCAGAAGCTGCTAAGCTAAGAATAGAATAGGAATGAATTAACAACGGAGCTCTCTCTGATTCTGTCCCAGAGAGAGCTTGGTCTTTGATTGGCCCTTAATTGTAAACATACAAATGGACTAATCACAGGTGCACCTGTTGCATTCCACAGCAGCAGACAACCATTGTTTACATTCTTTCTCTGGGGCTTCAGTTTCTTAGAAGAGGGAAAAACCCTAAAGAAAGGATTTTCCACAAAAGATGTCTGTACCACCACTGCTATAACAGAAGTTGCCAGAAGGATACATCTGAATACTCGACTTCCCCTGACATGAACAGCGCCTGTTCAGGAAACAGCAACTGTCCAGCCCAGCAGAGTGAAAGGAATTCTCATGCATATGCGGGGTTCCAAAGGAAAGCGGGGCACCTTTGCCTCAGGCATAAAAAGCTGTATAAAATAGCCTGGCTGGGAACAACATTCGTGAACAGAGGGGATGCGATGCCATAGAGGTCGGACCCAGGTTCACCCAGCGCCGATCCCGGGCTCGACTGCTGTCCCTTTGGCTGTGGTGGGTCTGAGGATCGTATTTTGGACGCGGAAAAAGACAAATAAAATCTTTTCGCATTTTTTATAATTTGGCTTCTTGATTGATCATTCATAATGCTCCTGAATGGAATGGGAAGAATTTTCTCAGCCTCAGACAAGAAATAACTATTAAGTTGCCTGCTGTGTGATGGCCACAGATTGGGCTTTTCTCCCCTTGTAGGAAAACAGTGACGTTGTCCTTTATACCCTCCTATCAGATAATTTCTTCTCTTAAGGAGAAAGAAAAATATTGCTTTATTTCCAAGCAGTCTAAAAAATAGTAAGAAAGTCTCAATCTGGTTTACTAAAAGGCTTTCACTACAAACACTGAAATAAAATAATTTAAAGGAACTAGAAAGGATGTGATTAAATGGAAATTTTAGACACAAATTCTGTAGTGGAATAGAACACTTTTGGTCTGCCAAAGTGAGAAGGGAGAACTAAACAGGTAACTGGTTTACAGAAATTAACCAATGCTTCCCACTAAAAATAAAGCCATGGGGAAAGGAGTGGCAAGGTGTGAAAGGAGTAAGAGGAGCTATTAAGTCAGTGATCATAGATCGGTCTTGGATTCTGTTCCTGTGGATGAAGCTAATTTCCAAAGTGAAGCACACGAAGTAGATATGTTGCTATCAAAATTAAATAAATATTTTTTAAACCTGATAAAACTGAACTTCTAAATTAATAGCAAAAAAAAAAAATTGTTAGGAATTTGAAATTACTGTTCCAAGAACAACTGAACTGAGTATTTCCTTCCATCTTGCTCTCTCGTACAGCTTGAGTCTCCTCCCAGCCCCTTTTCCAAAAGAGGTTTATTATTGTGACTGTGTGCAAGTAGCTGTCTTTCTTGTTCACTGTGCATGTAAGCTAGCTTATTATAACTTTGATTTGAAAGCACATCAAATCCCTTTTTTATTTATTCATTATTTTTCTAAGGATCAGTTCCATAAAACCCTTTCATATGCAGCATAATCACAGGCAAATCTTCTCCAAGAAACTCCCTGGCTGCCACCGCAATTGGTTCTGAGTGCTGAGAGCTGAAGTGTTTCAGCCCATACGAAACACACCTCTATTTTTAACATACAAAAACCATTACTGAGGAAGTGAACACAAATACACTACCCGCCAAATCAAATCCTCAGTGAAGCAAAGAATGAACAAAGAATTTTTTTATAAGGTATCAAAATTGCAATCTTTTTTCTCAGAGGAGAATTTTGCTTTAAGCATTTTGGAAGTCTCTCAAGACAAATCACAACGAGAACAAATCCTGTTCTTGTAGCATGATAAAAGGTCATCAGTGGCAGTATTTGCGAGCAAAGTAAGTGTTAAAAATAGGTTAGAAATTGCTGTAAAATAGTTGATAGATCATTAAGCATGTACTGTTAGTTCGGTTATTATACTGTAAAGGGGTTAAAAGGGTAGTTGTAAGAAATATGGTACTCAACTTACCATAACACACCTCAGTAAAGTGCACCACGAGCCAGCCTGGACAGAACTGTAATGGGCCAATCAAGCACCTTAAACCTTCATGCAAATGAAGGATCCAAAAAGAAACCAATTCAAAGGCACAAAAAAACAGGATAAAAAGGGGCTTCTGACCCATTGAATCCTTGCCACTCCATCTGGGACATCGAAGCCATCACTGCTGAGCAGCCCCAGCGCCGGCGCTGCAGCATCCTCGATGGGAACGCTCCTCCCCTTGCTTTAGGCCTTTCCTTTTCTTATAATAAATGATGAAATCACTTCAGTGCCAGGAGCCTGCTCTCGTTTTTATCAGTAAAAACCTCATCACTGATACAGCATCTCCCACTCTGTCAGTGCCTCCAAATTTTATCAATAATCAGACATTTGCTTCACTGCGAGCTGATACAAAAACCCAGCTGACTTCTTAGAACTGCTGAAGGCATTGAATATTCTGAAACCCCTGCATTTGACTCACTGACAGCTTCCATGGCCTTCAATTTCATGTTTTGTCATTCTATCATTTATAAATTATATGAAATGTGTAAGCCTTTGTGTACATAGCAGAGTCATCAAAACTCTGAGTTTTGGTTTTTTAGTTTTTGTGTTTTTTTTTTTTTTTCAATCAAAACAAAAAACCTCTACACATTTCCATTTAAAAAGCAAAATGTAGATATTATCCTGAAGTTTGGGCCACAGTTGGAAGCATTACTGTCTTCCAGTAGTAACAACATCACCATTTCAGCATTTCTGTGACAAAGCCCCGATAAATTCTGATGTCTTTGCACATGTGCCACCAGGACTTCCATGGGAAGTACAGAGCAAATTCCTCGAATGTCACACTGTTTCCAGTGGACATCTCATTTGTCATGACAACAAGGGAAGATAAATAATTTTCAAACCTTTTGCTGGAGTCTCTACTTGCTCCAATATTGTAATTCACAGTGCCTTTTCACTTGCATGGTCCTACCCAACCTGTGTTACACTGGTCTGTAACACATGTAGTATATGGTAGAGATAATTCATGCTATTAATGTATAAAATATTGTAAGATCCAAACTATGTCTTTTGACCATCCATATAAATGATTTGATCGTTTATAACACACAGGTTGGGTAAGAGACAACTGCCTGCATGGAAAAAGCAATAAAGACTTTAAAATACCCTTTTAGGCACCCCAACATAAGAAAAGCAACACAAAACCATTATCAACTAATGAGTATTGCCAAGACTGCTAAAAGGTTCAAGATGTTTTATGTATAAAATAATTTCCGAATTCAAATATCAATCCTTCAGCTGGATAAACAGAATTGATTAGTTCAGTGATTTGAGAACAATCTTTACAACATGCTACATTGTTATTCTGCCTCAGAGCTGACAGATAAAAGTAAACGCTTTAGAAAATAAAAATGTAGCAATTTGGTTTTTTTTAATCTACTAACTGCATTCATTTTATACACCAGAACAGAGACCACCTACCTTTCTTCCCCCTGTGTTTAGGCGAAGAGGAGTTAGGAAGGGATCAAAAATCATATGGCTGGTTTCAATATTGACAGGTGACTGTCTTTTCCCAACAGAGCAAAGATTCCAAGCTGAGTTCACCAAACCCCAAAAGGAGGGTACTGCAAAATATAAGAAAGTGTAAGTTTAATGGAAGTCTGGAAAGACTGTGGCAGTGCATGCCAGGCAGATGGCCAGGAAATTAATCTTGTCCCATTGTCTGTATACACACTTTGAAACTGAAAACAGGCAAATTCATCTTGTGTCTGAAATTTAAAACTTCATACAACAAGACCAAAACATATGATTTCACATAATTTTGTATCAGGAAAGAAGGTGGATTAGTTCTTTTCCTCTTTGATACAATCCCATGCAAAACAGGAGTGAAACAAAAGTAGCTAGAAAAATAATGGAAGAATTGAGAGCTATTCTGGTGATGAGTACCAAGGATTTGCTGAAATAAACAGAGGTCTTTCCCAACCTTAGTGATTTGATGACTGTGTAATAGATATCCCACTACAATGAATTCACATCTCTTTAAGAATGAAAAACCTTGTGTAGTTGATTTTTCTGTAAGCCAGTGAAGAACCAAATAGAAATGAAGAATCTTATTTAAACTGCCACCAGAATTAAGGTGCTCTGGGTTGTTTTGAGCCTTTGTTTAAACAGGGGACAGAAGCCAGAAAACTTCAAATAAATAGGAAATAAATAGGGTGGCAGGAAGAAAGGGAGCATTTTCAAAAAAATGCTGTCCAAATAAGAAAAAAGAAAAATGTGATAAACTCTGACCAGTTAAATAAGAAACTAAAATAAGACATGCCAGAAGAAGATATCAAAGAACAATTTCCAAGGGTCTTAAAAGCCGCTAATGACTTTTTTAAGACAATGAGAAGCAAGGACACAGGCTGAGTGTGTTGGACCAGCTGGTGATCAGGTTGTAAGAGCAGTGGTGATCAGGTTGTAAGAGCAGCACAGGAAGCATTATGTGTCAGTAAAACTGTATGAATTCTTTTCCTTACTGCTCACAAAATGGTCTCAAGGGATGTTCCCACACGGGAGCTCTTTTATGAGGAATGAATCTGAGAAACTGTCTCAGAATCAAGCATCAGAAAAGTGACTTTCAGTATAAACAGATAAAATTAACAAATTCATTCAGATCAGACAGAACTCTAGGATGAATACCACAGTGATGTGCACTGCCAAAGTCCTTGCTTAAAATCTGCACTAGTCTTGGAGAGACAAAAAGTGGCAAATGTGATCCAATTTTTATGGTGTTTATTTTTATAGGTGCTTGTTTTTATCAAGGTATCTGCTATGATCCCTGTCAATGACACGAGGTGAAGTCTAGGAAGGACAGTCAGGTTATTTCTGTTTTACTGCATCAAGCCTGTAAATTCCACTTTGAAGTTTGCTCAACTTCCAAGAACACAGATTCTCTGAATTTAAGTTTCTCCAGAGTTCATGAATTTAAATGAAAAGTGTCAACTTATTCATCAGCACATCTTTGTTTACATTTTTAAGCCTTAGCACTGGCCCTGGCAATGGCTTAAAACACCATAAAAGATTGTATTTGTGCAGTGACTATTCTTGCCCTGTGTAATTACTGGTACCTCAGATAAAATCTCAAGCTACTTTATTGAGGCTGGAAATTGGAACCACAGAGAGAATCAGTAATCTGTGTACACCAATAAAGCAGTCCATTAATTATTTCCACCTACTCAGCTTGAAAAAAATTATCATACCAATTCCTCTGGATAACCACATGACCTGCTCTGCCTCTACATAAAAGCCAAAGGTAAAGTCATAAAGGCTTTGAGAGATAAATCAGGGACACCAAAAAAATGACAGAGTATACAATGACATTCATCTCAGTAATTGGTCACAGAAATCTCCAGACTGCAGTAATATTAGACACTATCACAATGGCTTCAAATTTGAGAACTGAAAGTGTTCTGTTTTCTTTTTAGCAGCAAAGTGTTGACAGCTGAAATATATCCTCCAGAGTAAGACAGCATTGCCATTATTCAAGAGATAGTAAAAAAATTTTAAAAATTTAGCAATAAATCTTGAAACATATAAAAAATTAAAATTTTGAAGAACTCCAGCAGCATCATATTCTATACTGCTAATTCCAAACTGCTCCATTCAAATGTCAGCGTCCCTCTGTATGAAGGATTCTCAATGACACGAAATGTTCAACCACTGCACTTGTTAAATGAGAGATAACAGAAAACAGGAAGGGGAAAATGAGGTTTTGAGATTCTGGCATGATATTGGCTTTTAAAAAGTGGCTATTTTCTGCTATGCCTTTAATAAAGACATCATCCAATACCATCTTGAATTTACCTTTAAATTATAGCTGCTTATTTATGCCTAATTAAACATTTTCTTAAATTAAGAGTTACATTACCTGAGAAAAAGTATTTACCAATCAAAATTAGTGACCTCTGGCCCTGCAAAGCTTTTGCTTATTTTTATCTACAAATTTAGGATACAAGTGTAGAACACAGTACCACTCCTTTCATTACAGTGATTAAACCAGACTAATTCACTTCTATAAATTATGTCAACTAGGGGTAAAGAGTAGTAATACAACAGTATGTAATTACATTTTTCTCTGCCACCCTCTGCTGAGTTCACACATACTAAAACTATACAATCAAACACTAATGCTTCTGAAAAATATAGGTCAGCTGCTTGTAGAGGTATTTACAGATGCTTCTCATATTGACTTTTCGCTATTCATTATTCATGTGGCAGAAGTAGAAACGAGCACCTAGAGGGAGAGGTATATCCAGGTATACCTTCTAGGGTCAGGGTCATTAAATTTCTGAGAAGATAATGTGTTTCTCTCTCACTCTAGTCAAAAAGAGACTATAGTTTTGGGGGAAATGGGTTTTTCCATGTAATATGAGTGAAGGTCCTGTTGGTGAAAGATTTAGCACAACTATGGCAAAAAAAATGGGAAAGGAAAACAGATTAAAGAACAGTTTGGTTTAAAGGTTAAAAAGCAACTGGGATGTTTAGTGGAGCTGGCACAGATTGCTCATTAAAGTGTCAGTCTTGGGTAAGGGAAATCCTTCTTGGCAAATGAACTAAAAATGAGAAAGGGGAGGACAGCAGCATCCTCTCCCTCTTTTCCATGCCCAGGACTGGATCTGTGCCCTGCCTGCCTTTGAGTGGGACATTGGGCCCACTTCCAGTGCCCAGGCTGTGGCTATGCCCAACGAGCTGCCATGAATCACTGCCACTCAGCTGGTCATTTCTAACCGGGTCTGGTCAGCCATCAATCACTGACAGGGTTCAAGAGATTTCCCTCAAACCAGGCACAGACACAACTGAGAGCATTTGCCTGGCACTCACTGTAATTTGGGGGGTGGAAAACAGGGAGAGTTCAGCCTGGAGTTGAAGCGTAGACTGAAAGGGAAAAAGTTGAAAGGCAAAAAAAGAGCTGTCATGGTTGTTCTGGACCTGAAATGGGACTTTGCATTAAAATGCAGGAAACCCAGATTTTGAGCTATCCTGTGATCTCTAATCTTTCCTCTTCATGTTCTTCATCTTTGGGCTTTTTTGTGGCTCATGCTGTAGAACTGGGGACTAAGGCTTTGCTGTTAAAATGAGTAACTGTTCTGAGACAGGACGAGTGAGATGTAAGACTGTAAAGAAGATCCAGAAGAAAGGTGAAGAAAGCCTCAAATAGATGAAATTGAATAGAAGAAGTTGTTCAGAGAAAAGTAATTCGAAACTTATTGTTTTAAGGGAAAAGACTGCTTATCCAGCAGATACCTTGAGCTCTATTCTGTAGATTCAGCTTTATTTTAATGTCTTTGGGTTACTATCGATCCTTCTGCTGAAAAATATAAGTTAAAGTAGGAACAAAAAAAAAAAAAAACAAAACCCAAAAGACAGCGTATTTATTCTATCGAAAATGCTTTTTCTATGTATCCCTACGCCTTACAGTATACTGTTACTAAAACAAACTTAACTTTCAGGTATTAAGTTGGAATTTAACTATTTATTGCCAAATCCAGTGCATGCCTGCTGGTGCATCCTTTATTAGAATGGGTTTACTGAGCATCTCACTCTGGAACTGCAGGGCATTAGGGGATTCAGTTTGGAGAAGGCAGGTGTAAGGAGCACTCGGAAGAGGATAACAAGTCCCATTCTCAAAGGCATTTTTGTGTGTAATAGCAACCCCTCAAGAATTACTTGTAGCTCTGCACTATTTTGGTTTCCCACAAGGCTCCTGCAGTTAATGACAGCCAGGAGGCAGAAATGTCCAGCCTCTGCTGACTTGCAAAGACAAGTAGGGAGCCAGCACAGAGCTCAGCACTGAGTGCTGCAGTTTGTATCTGTAATGACTATTCAAGACAGGAACAGTGATGTTCTCTGCTCTGGTGTTTTCTGGAGAAATCAGATTTCTCTGACCCTATCCCATAGGGCTCTGGCTCTGCCTGGGAATGCTGCTTCTGCAGAGAGATCACAAAACACTGTAACTTGGATTATTCTTGGAAACACCAGAAGTGAGCACAGCTGACTTGATAAAATTACTCACAGGCTGGAAAAAATGAAGTCTGGGCAATCCTGATCTCTTAGAAGTCTGACCTGGTCCTGCCAATCCACAACTGTGTAAACACAGTCAGAACTACAAAATACTTTGGAATCAAAAGAAACCTTGGCTTCTCCTCAGAGACTACATCAAATTATTCAGGTAATTGCTGGGCAGTGGCTTGTAAGGACTTGCCTAAGCTTGTGAAAAGTGCCAGTACACAGCACACTGTTTATATGGGAAATGCAGCAGTGCATGAGCACCTTTTGAGTTGCAAGGTAACTGCTCCACCATCTCAGCAGCACTAAACATCCTCCAGCAGTGCAAGGGGACGCTGCTCAGAGTGGCAATGCCAGGATGCAGAATCCCAAAAGCAGAAACTGCTCTCCAGTGTGTCACAGAAGGGCCGTGGCTCTGAACACTCCTGACAGCCCATTCCTGCCAGAGACTGTAACAACTCAGATGGAATGAGCATCAATTGCTTCCAAGGGAGATGTGTAAAAGACACTCAATGTTGCCTTTTTGGCTGCCAAGATTCAATATAAGATAGTGCCTTGGAGGCTTAATTACTTG